GGTGACGCTGGTTTAAATCCAGTTCCAGCCTCAGCAATAGCCATTTGGACACTTGCACAAATAGTTACTTTAACCATTAAATCTGGGATTTATTTAAATGTGAGGACCCAGATAAAGAGCCATGAGAATAAATGGGTAGAGGTGACTGCGCCGTCCTTTCCTTTTATGCCACCTGCTGGTTCCACCTGTGCCCTCTCCACATCCGTTCTTGTTGTGTTCAGAAGCTGACAGCCACATGAAATTATTCAAGCTGACTAAAGGAGCTTGCTCTTTTACGGTTTCCCCATCAGCACACTTTCTGCCTGTGTGCTCACACTCCTTCACACTTTAGCAAAAGGGAAAGCCTCTCATATTTCTCTGAGGTGTAATTTGTGCTCTGGAGCTATAAAATATGAAGGAGACATTTTTACATTGTACACAATTTTCTACAAATTAAGTATGGAATTGTAGTACAGACTTTATTTGTGTTCTTAAAACAAGAATTTGTGCGAAATTAAGTACTTCCAAACACAGCATTCATATTTTATAGTTATGCCACTGCCTGAATTTCCCCCATTTTCACATACACATGCAGTTTTTGACGCTTATCCATGCTCTATTTGACACACATCTATTTTGAGCCTTGTTTAGATGAGAACCAAATAAATCCAGATACTTCAGGCTCTCTGTCACCTGCCATATCTCTGAAGAGGCTTTCTTGGTCGAAGTTTTTTCTTCTCCTCACGACTTGAATTATTTAGTGGGGTCCATTTAGCTTAGATACTGTGTCAGCCTTTCACAGGGAACCAGGGCCAGTTTGACATGTGACATTAAGAACTTGATTACTCAATGTTGATTCTGCACTTGAAAGTAATGGACAGGAAGGAAAATTATCAGGGGAAAAGCAGATGGTCTGCGAGAATAAGACACACTGGACTCCTTGAGATGTTTAAGGCGTTTCCATGTTCTTTGTTAGTCATTTGTTTGCAAAAACAGTTTTATAGTTTCCATATAAGGAGTGTTTTGCAATCATTTAAGTAAGTTATTTGAATGTCTGACCTGTATTAGCTAATTTCAATATTAGAGAGGTGCAGACATATGAAGCACAAAAGTTTTAAAGCTCAAAGAAAGGATGGGTGACTAAAGCTTGTTAACTGGCTGTGATCTCTCTAAAGGAGCATCTCTACTGTGAATATTGTAGATATTAAATAAAGGCAAACTTTAACTGATATTTCTTGACATCCTTATTGATCTTTACCAATGTGAATTATAGAAAGAGTTTTCTTTTAAGCTTGTTTTAAAGTTTATTCTTGCATTTTTACATTTTTTGTCATTTAAAACTATATGCTTGATGTCAAAATCCCCAAACTCTCCCAGAAATAAAACGGTAGCTAACATGTGACAAAATGTCCCGTTTCATCCCCGTCACTTTTGACTTGCATTGCTCTGTGATTATTCTTTAAAAGGTGTTTTTCACGCCCATGTGACCTTTCACTCCTTTCTTCACTTTTATCCCCAATGCTGTCAGCAACTTTGCTGTGAATGACAAGCTGCTGGAATTTTTAACACAGAAGTGGTTCCACCACACAGATGATCAAGCAGAATGATCTTTCATTTGTCCTGCAGCACTCTTAAAAACTAAATGCCACAAAGCAGCTGATTGGTTTAATGTTAGTTGTCGAGAGAATTGTCTTATTCCCTAATCCTTTTCATACGAAGCGTAACGGTCGGAGTCCCTGTGTGTCTGTTCACCGTCCCGAGGCCCTCTGATGCTCCAGGGCAAATGGCTTGTTAGACTTATCAGCACCCCTCTCCCCCCGGTGCTTCAGTCTGCCTCCCCCTTCCTCCTCTTCGTCTTCATCCCATACTTGGGATACTTCCCTTACCCCACTCTCCCTGTCATCACAAACAGTCTGCTACTTAATCCAATTATTCCTATAAGCTGACACGCTCTGTAGCTTACCACAAACTCTGCGGGTGACGCCCCTGTTCTTCACATCCGCACAGCGACCCACAAACGCGGACGTATTGGCACAAACAACACACAACTCTGTTTCCAGCAATACTGCTGTGCGCTACTGCAGGTATCCTAGAAAACGAAGCCAATGTTAAATCAATATTTGATAGGAAAATCTAGAAAGATAAAAAGCATCCAGTATGATGCAATTTAGTCACCCCACTATGCTGCTTTATTATAGACACACAGGCCTCTGCTGTCACTGTCTGATTCACTGTACCCTTGAGTTGACTCCATTTATTTTAGTATCTTTTTTTTTGCAGTCTTTATTGCTTTACCAGCATCTGTATTCACACGCCTGCATTGTGATACAGGAGGCTGTGCGCCGTCAGTGAAATCTTGCTTCTTCCATCTCTGTCTTCAGTTGTTGGGTGAGAGGCAGCGCACAGCCTGAATGGGTCGGCACTTAATCAAAGTACTTCGGCTCAGTAAATTGGTTATTGTGTTTTCAAAGTGTTGCAATACATAAACATTATTTAGAGGGGTTCTGTCTCAGCGCTGCAACTGAGACAGCTGATCATAAGATACTCATGGATAGACTGTGCTGGTGCTGGTTCAGGACCAGCACTACATTGTGTTATTTGGGAGAGAACAAACTTTGAGTCCACATTCAGGGCTCTTTTCTTCAACATACTCCCTCTTCCTCACATTGTGGAGTGCTGCAACGTTTCCTACAATACATATTCTGATGCCATAAAGCTTTATATTTCTGTTGAATCACTTGGCCACAAGATCTTTACAGTCACCAACTAATCCCGTCCATAATAGCAACTGAACTGATGCCCTTAAATTAGGACTGAAAACATTGTTTGCTGCAGCTTTCCTTTAAAGCTCAAAATTATCAGCTCAGTTTTAGCAAGAACTGTCTTAACTGTTTCTCTTTTTACTTCAGTGTTGCTGTTACTCCTCTACTTTCATACTATAATGTAATTTTCATTACTTCTGTTCCTTTATTTTTCTCTATGGCATGTTGAGTTGCCTTGTGAATGGACATCTCATACAAATGGACTTACCTTGTTTATGGTCATCGAATGTGAAGCTATGTAACGTCACCTTCCCTGGTCATGGTTCGCACTTGGTCAACAGCTAAAGAGCTAAATGGTCAATGCTTTGACAGCTTGCATCATAGAAACACAGTGTATACTGTAAAACTGCTTGCGCATAGTAAATGGAAAATGTGTCACAGCAGCCGTGACAGGATAATTAATCCCTAGATTCTGCGATTTCACCCCCTTCCTCAAATCTTGACAAGTATTTCTGTCGCAAAGGGGGCAGCGGGCGTCACAAAAGGAGCTGTGTTCGGTTGTTTTTGGTGCTGACACAACAACAGTTGAGAGTAACAGATGGAGCTGGTGGTGTGTGTGTGAGTGTGTGAGCGCGTGGCTGCATGTGTGTTTCAGGGTGACCGGGACTGGAGCTGGCTGCAGCTTGATCCGAATCACAGAGAAGGGAGTTGGAGCAGACTTTGCTATTTGTCTCTCTGGAGGAAGAAGTGGGAGATGCAGGTGTCAAATACTGATAAATTTTGGGTGATCCTTGTTGGGTGGGTGTGTGAGAGAGCATTGTTTTGCTTTCACACTTGAATACTGGCACATTTTTAAACCCGTGCAGAGTCTTCTCATAAAATCTACTCCATACAAACAAAAGCAGCATATACTAAGTAAAAATATTCGTACTTTGAGTTAAGCAGCTGAGTCAAATATGTGGGTTGTATCCATGAAAAACTTGCTAAGTTCTTTCTGCCAAATCCCAAAAAACTCCAGGTGGAGACTGTGTGATGATGTGGGGCAGCATCTCCCCACACTGGAAAAAAAAAAGCCTCTTCATCATCAGAGGAAATCTCAATGCATAGAAATATCCAGATGAGATTCTTGAAACAGTTGCAGTGTCATATCTTGACTCTTCATCCAAGGTGTTTATGGTTTATCAAAATACAACTTCCAGAATCTGAGAGCGGCTGGATTGACTCCCCTGTTGTCTGGATCTCAACGCCATTGAACTCTTGTGGGATCAGCTTGAGTGTTTTGTTGGTAAAAATGTCCAACACAAAGACTTTAGCTGACTTTGAACAAATGCCATGCCACCCCACAGCAATGTGCAACCAAGCTGGTGACCGTACTTCAGGCATTTCTTCATACATCATAGGAAGTATAACAGATCATTAAAGCTACTGAATTATTATGTGTGAAGTATCACAGTACTGATACACTCAGTCTTACAGAAAGCTTAATTTTAAATTGCTTTTTACATTGCTGTGCTTCCTCAGACTTCACTCTGACATTTTTTATTGAATGTTTATTGATATTAAATGATTTTAGTTTTCCAGCTTTTCTACAGCATTGGCTGTGAATTCACTTTAATGACTATAGTCTGAAAAAAAAAACACTTGTTTTGAAACATTTCTGACGATATTTATGACTTCGTCATTTGGTGTCTGTATGTTCCTTTTCCATGACGTGTCAAATGTTGTTTTCTGTGTGTTGCAGTTTTTGCTGCACATAAACTAGTTGTTTGTTTCTTTGTGAGAATTCGAGGTAAGTAAACTATATTGATGTCTAAATGTTGCAAGGTTTGCAAAAGGAAATCCCAGTTCACCCCGATGTGACACAGCTGAAGAAAAACAAACAAAACAAACACTTTCTTGTCCATTACCATGATCATAATGTCCTCGTGTTGTCCTCCATTGTGTCCATTCCGCCCATCTTAAGCTACCATGTTTCCACCAGGGGGTTCTTATTTTAGACGAATGGCAGTCATGGTGGGGTGGGACAGGGTTGGGAAGGTTTCTTTTCCTGCTCTTTAGCTCGTTCTTCCTCTTGAGTTTTGCTGTTTCTGTTTTAATTTTCACCTGTTCCTCTGAATCTGCTCCATCGTCTAACATTGCTCTCTGTCCACTCTGCTCCTGCTGCTGCTTTCTCCTCTTTCTTTCCTTTCTTTCTCCTCATCGCTGCTGCTCCCTGTTGCGATTAACTGGGCTCTGTCTCTATGTCGTGTGTCCTTTTAGGCCCACGCCGTGCATCGCTGGCTAATCGATCAGGACAGTAGTGTGAGCTCTGAGATGCCGGATGGCCAAGGAGTATGGCACTATGATGATGAAGTAAATACCAGCAACACGTATCTCTGGATTTTCCTGTCTCTTTATATGTATCTTTATATATATTCATATATTAACTATCAGTAATCACCCTGTCACTTGTAGTTTGTGTCACTTTTGCTGTTGTTGTTGTTTTTTTATCTTTATTATCTCATTTTTGTTGTGTTTTTGCTTCTGGTATTGTAGTTCTGGTTCCTTTAAATTTCTAGTGTTGCTGTTGTACTGTGAGCTGATTCAGTCAGCTGTCGTGGGATCAGGCTGGACCTTTTTCTTTGTTCCTGTCCTTGCTTGAAGTTTCATACTAACTCGCTGAGTTTTAAGTTTAATTAATTTATTTATTTTTTGGTTTGTATGTTTTCTTTCCTTCTGTTTCACATAATTACACATTAGTGTCTATTTGTATATTGTACATATCTATTTTGATGTCTTTGATTTTTCTCAAAATGGACGAGCATATTGCAAGGAAAGAGTCCACGGGTAAAATATACTCTAACGTAGGCATAGTAGTAGATGCAAGTGTTGTCTATGTCTGTTTCTTGCTACATGTAGTTATTATTAGTTAGTGTAAGACAACAGTTGAAGTATATTTCCCGTGGGTTCTTCTAATTTACAAAATATGCTTGTGTCATTCTGTGTTTGTGTTTAGGGTTAAGTCACAGCTTAGAATGTTTGTGGGAAACAGAGAGAGAGAGAGAGAGTGAAAGGTTGTGTTTGTGAGATGATTATTTTATCAGTGAGTTTGTGTGCATGCTTTGTTTCCTTCCTGCATGCTTTATCTCTGTTTATTAGCACAAAGTTTGATTTGCATGCCCGTCTGTATTTCTGTCTTCGCTGCAGTCTGTGTCTGTTTAACTGTGACCTCCCCGTGAAGTAATGTTGATGCCTGCCTTTGCTCGTGCCTTTGATGTGTTGGTGTTGTGTATTGTGGCCGTGCGTACTTCCCATGAACCTGTCACATGCTGTGCCTGTGTTTTGTCGGTTTTTATCTGTTGAAACAGTCTGGGATAGGTTGACCAAAGGGTTTTTATTGCACATGTACAACAGATGATCTTGCATCAGCATCAGTTGTTGGAGGAGAGATCATCTAAGTCCAATAAAGCCCCCAGAGAAACTTGTCCCAGACGACTCTTGGCCCCATGATTTCCCTTCAGATCCCAGCTCCTCCCTTTGCGCTCAAGCCAAATTCCTAAGCCTTATCTCCTGATCTCCATATTGCTCCCAATCACTCTGGAGCATCATTGGGCTTGTCTTAAGCACAGCTTTTGGAAGAGCAGAGACTGCTTAAAAAGATGGGTGACGATGATGAGGGGAACAGATTTAACACAGAATGAAGGATACAAATGGAAGGAAAGCGAGAGTGTAAGTCATCTTCCAAAAGCCCCGAACGTACTTTACAACAATATGGAGTCTTTCCCCTGGATGCCTTTGAATGCCAATGCACTGAACAATTGATTTTGTTTTGAATTCAGTTTTATCTTCTGTATGAGTGCTTGAAAAATGATATTTCTACTTCTTCATTTTTCTTTCACCTGCCAGGACTACAAATATGCATATCATCCTTTAATTATAGGGCTATAACATAATTTACATGACAGTTTGCTTCTGTGACATTTTGGAAAGGGCTAAATGAATGCTGGGAGGCAGAGGAGACTTGCAAACATCGTGTTTGTGCCCAGAATACAGAGACGCAGAGAAAAGGTGACACAGTCCCAAAGAGCCCAGCTGCACTTGCTTGACTTTTTCAGCCCCAGCAAACAGTGAAGCCTGGAGATCCTTCAGTCTGCAGGTTGCTTATATATATTTGCAGTAAATAAAGTCTGTTTTTTCTCAATAGGCAGAAATCTGAATAATATGTAGCTTATAATTATTTTATTTTATTTTATTTGTTTTTTTTCCCTTTGATTTTTAGGTTAGTTTTGAGGTCCAGAACTATTGTCAAATATAGTTTTCAGTTTTTGAATTCAGTAGTTCTCATAAATTTAGAGATGTCACAAATTAGGCTGAATTTAGCAACTTAAAACAACTAGCAATGAAAATGTTATACCTGTGGGATACAAGACTCCATTTGTTTATTTTAACCGTCTATACTTTCACAATTCAAATTATTTTATTTATGCTGCACCACTTCACAACAAATTTCATCATATCAAACTTTAGTCTGTAATGTCAAAAAAGTTACATGTCTGATGAAGCCCAACTGGCTTGGGTTGGTCACTGACTTTGCCACATGCTGAGCAAGTTCATGGTGAAAGTGGGAAGGAACAATTCTCATTTAACAGGAACAAACTCCCAGCAGAACCCAGCTTGGTGAGAGGAGCCTTCTGCTATGTGTTTGGAAACACATAGCAGATACAGAAAAAGTAGACATGCTACTCCAGGATTACTTTTTACATTAATTAACAAAGAGTTAATAGCAGTTGTTGTTCCTTTAGTGGCTTCATCTAGGAGAGAAACGGCGAAGCATAGAAGTTATTGTAGCAGCAACAGCTTGCTGCTACTTCAGGAAGGTGACAGCTTAACACCAAAATACCAGGCTATATGTGGTTTTATAAAAAGAGCAAAATTGGTGGGGACACTAAAATAGTTAATGGCAGCAATAATTACATGATTGGACAGTAGTATGAGGGGACAAAAGCTAACCTTAGTGTTACTATGAACGAGTCAAAATGGTGAACGCTGCATCAGCCGACCTGATCAGCTGATTATGAGTCCAACACAAAACAACCACAGCAACGCTCTCATCTTTCATCCCTTTGGAGACATTTGCAAAATCCAAATGTTTCATTGGGTTTAGATGGAGTTCAAGTAGAATAAGGACTTGCAGCTGCTGAAACAAATTAATGCAGCTAGAAGCCTGGAGGAATGTTATCAGTACTTGGCTTGATAACATGGAAGTTAAATTCAGCTGAGACAATTTTGCCAGTATTTATAAAGGTGAATGGTTAATAACAACTTAAATAGAGGTGCATACCACTGATTTATACATTTTTAAGCTGGTTTTAAATTACTTAAGTCAGTTAAACCGAGGGATGGGGAGGGGAGAAGGAAGAGTTTGTCTGACTTGCAGGTAGCCGTCCACCACTCTGGGAATTTAATCACTTTTCATAGAACTGGCTTTGAAAAATAATCACAATCCCTTTAAAGGGGTTTAAGCAACAATTATCCAGACATAAACAATATACACAGATACTCATTTTCTTGCCATTGAGTGTTATGCAGGATTTCACTTATAAGAAGTACAAAGTTCTGTTCATACTGATTATAAATTAATTTACTCCTGTTCAAAGTCCAGCACTTATAAATTCATTTCGCTAGTTTGCCTGCATTGATTATAATTAATTATTATAATCAATAATTAATTATTCAAGAACTCAAAAATCCATAAAAGGTCACCTACATGCGTATTTACAATGTTTTATGCATCTTTCCTTTTTTGATTGTAGGTTGCTCAAAAAGTCTGCAAAATGTCTTTAAATTTTTTCAAACAATAAATCAAAGAATTTGATCGGGATAAAATGCATGTCTTGACAAAACAAAATTGTGGTTTTGTGCACAAAATCAACTGGACTAAAATGTTGACTTGTAAATAAAAGGTTAGGATTTTTCTTTTTTGATAAACATTGGTCATTGAGAATGTTTGAAAGTTTTTACGCTCTCTTCCTCTTGGATGGTGACACCTGGGCAGCAGGCCGCACATGCTCAACACTGCAGTGGCTTTTAGCTTTGAGGGTCAAGACCTCCAGCTGTTGATGGGAAAAGTTTGGGTTCTGTTTAATAAAGGTTTGACAAAATTAGCACTGGCATAATTTCATTTCAGAATTAAAAAGCAACAATTTCCTTTTACGGATGCTCATCATTGTGAAATATAGTGTTTAATATCACCATAACAAGACACAGTTTAAGTTCCTCAGCTGAAGAACAGCCTATTTAAATTCAAAGTTCTTAAAAATCACAAACACCTCTAACATGCATATTTGAATATAATGTTGCATGCACGATTACTTTAATAACGGAGGTACTTTAATCATTAAAATACTTTTAGAATCAGTTGAACTGCTTGTTACAGAATATGTTTGTCCTGTGCAGTAATAAGAGATGGCAGCTTTCACTGGTCAGCTGTCTGTCTGCAGCGACACTTAGCTGTAGAAACGGAAGCAATGTTTTTGCACCAAACACAAATATTTCCTCTTTTATTCCTCAAATCCCACTTATAGTATAAAAGGCTTAGACTTTAATTTTCAAACTTTTTATTTTTATTTTTTACATGTACTAGCTTTAGAGAGAGATGTTTAAAATGTATCACAGCTGTAGGAAATAAAGTAGTTTATCTAAAAAGAAATCTGAAATTGGCCCATTCTTTACTTTTTAGCTGCGGCTGCAAAATTATAACCACTTTTTGTGGAGAACTGATTGATGTAGAGTGTTCTTTGATTGAAGAGCTCCACCGATTTTCCAGGGAGAGCTGAAGAAATATGAAAACAAGCCCAAAGGACCTTGAAGATTTGCTACAAATGATTCAGTTTCAAACTGAACTGGGGGTAAATATCAATTCCTTGTGATCCCAAACTTAAATCTAAAATCCCAACAAGATAAAATCAGGCAGTCTGAAGTAACAAAACACCAAGTGTTAATGAAACCATCTTTAAAACTGAAATCAAAAACCATCAAGTGGTTTTATACTCACTGGTGGCTTCAAACTAGTAAAACAAACCAGGGCTTTCCCTGAGGGCTGATGTATTTCATATGAAAACATAACGCTTCATCAAACCCTGCTCCACCCACTCCTGTGTCTCACATCAATGAGATGTCAGAGGTGTGTGTAAAGGTCTTGCCCCTTTCCCCACCATCAATAGTTTTAGGGGCCTGGAGAATATCCCTCATCACCCCTCAGCTCTAATTACCCCTCAGTGAGTCCTCGGAGACAGACGCTCTGGGAGCTGAGCCCCATTCGTCACAGTGCGTCTGCACAGTGGACCCGGTCTGGGGAGGAAAAAAAGCAAACT